GGACTCTGAAAAACAGGACTGGAGAAAGACCCCTTTGGGCCTCCAAATGCCAGCCCAAGATTTGAGAGGTAATTGGGGGGGGGGGAGCTTGAATGACAGCCGCTGGCCGTGAGAGCCGTATAGCATGTCAGGGACCCCCAGCCAGCCCCCACAGCATGGCCCCGGCTGGGGGTCCCTGGTGCAAAAAAAGCCACCTGGGAATTTAGAAGGGAGACACGAGAACAAAGTGGCTGCCTCCTCGCCCACTCTGGGATGGAAGGAGGGGAGGAAAAAAACCTTCCTGACCCATAGCAGGAATTCTGCAAGAGAATCGCCATTGTTGGGTTTTCCTGGCGGTCACTGTGGGCTCTGGAGGCGTGTGTGTGTGTGTGTGTGTGTGTGCCACACTTTCCTGCTTGACCAGTTTGTGGAGCCAGCAGTATGAGAGAGGAAACAGAACCTGAAACCGTGAGAAAAGCCAAATTCCAGTTTTGGCCAAAGTGCAGGAAGTGGCTCACCCCTCCTCCTGCATCTCTCAGCCTGTTATTAGCCGCCTTCCCAGCACGCTGCATTTAGGAAAGAGACGGCAACCGAGACCCTCGTCCTGGTGGCGTGGAACGGGGTCTCCAACCTTGGCCACTTGAAGACTTGTGGACTTCAACTCCCAGAATTGGAAGTCGAAAGTCCACAAGTCTTAAAGTGGCCAAGGTTGGAGGCTTCTAGGGCAGAAGATCCGTGGGCCTTCCAGTGATTCGGACTCTGTCCCCCTTGTCAATCAGGCTCCTATTTGAGAGTTAACTGAAGGACCCTTGACCCCTCCCCAAGCTAAACCAGCCCTCGGGGGTCCTCCTGTATCAGAGGTTGCCTACCTGTCTCTTCAGTTTTCTGGTAAAAGCACCAACCCTCACTTTGTCCTCAAATTCCAGCCCTCTTTTCTCTTCCTCTCAGGCTGCCTCTCCAGCCCTTTCTGGCCCTTTCTCCAGGGGCTCCTGGCTGGCTGATCCTCCCACCAGCCTTTGCTTGTGATTGGACTGAATTTATAGCCGACCAGAAGATTTCTATTCTGCTTAGGACAAGAGATATTCATCTGCCAGGCAAGGCAACTGGCTGTTAAGAGAGAGGAGCTGTTATTTGTTATCCTGCAGAGGAAGCTTAATATTATAATCAAGCGGGGGTGGGGGAGGGGGGCTGCCTTAGCAGCCAAGGGAGTGGGGGGGACGAACAGGAAGAAAGATTTATGGGTCTATGAAGCAGCGCTGACGTTGGGGATAATCCAGGACAGCTGGCAGGGAAGGATCCATGATAACCAAACAGCATTACCAGCAGGACACGACGTCCCAACTAAGAGGGGAAAGGAAAATAGCGCACTGCTTTCTATCATGATGATTATGGGGCTACAACTCCCAAAACTTGATTGCTTATTCTATCTTCTGACTATTATTAAGTGTTGCACCTGATGACTCTTGACGAATGTCTCTTTTCTTTTTATGTGCACTGAGAGCATTTGCTCCTAGACACATGCTGCAAACAAGCTTCGAGAAGGAGCTCTTTTTAAGGGGAAACACTTGGGAATGATCAGGACTGGAGAGCATTACGTTCTCTCAGAGGCTCAGGGGGCTGGGTAATTTTGGAAGACGGGTAGATTTTATCCCTGGTGTTGCTTAAGGGACCTCAGTATTCTTCTTAATGCTAATCACTCCACCATGTAAAATAACCACCAAGCAAAGACAATTCTATTTATGGTTCCCTTTTAAGAAAAACTTCCTGGAGCAGCCGGGCCTTAATATTTTCTGAATCTTAAAGACCAATGAGCGAGCTCCATACTAGACCAAAAGGGCTTTTAAAGTCAGAGGAGCGCTTTCTGAGAAAAAAGACCAAACTTGCTTGCTTGCTCTGGGGGCGGGCAAGAGGATGGGGGTAGGGAACGGCCAGTGGTTTTCTTGGCTGGTTTTGTATTCTCACAAGCCTGCTTTGAGACTATTTGTGAGGCTAGGGGTGTGTGTGTGTCTGTCTGTCTGTCTGTCTGTCTGTCTGTGTGTCAACTAAAAAGATATTCCTTTGGTCTTTTTAGCTGCCAGAAAAAGGGAGTGGGGGAAAACAAGGCATTCCTTAAATGCCTAGATAATCACCTCGGTAGCCCAAAGTTGTCGGAGCATGAGAAGGTTATTGGAGAGCATGATGGATGACTCTTGGAGACGGATGTGTCCCATTGGAGAAGTCACATCCAGGGGGTGGGGGGAAGGCCAGGGTCAAGGGGGAAATGTATGATGTGATTAAGTATCGGCTGCGCACCCAGCCACGCACCAACATGGCAAGTTCTAATAAACCAATTTGTTTTTTTTCTGAGATGCGGCTAGAGACTTTTGCTTTGAATGGGGGTGGATTTGTTGGCCCTGACAGTGTGTTTGCACCAACTCTGGCCTTGAGGTTAAGGTTGGGAGGAAATGAAAACACGAGCCTGCAAGCTGCCCTCCCAATATAATAAAGCTATATTACAAACTATACATCACGTATTGGGAAAAGAACGTTAGCGCACAAAGGGGGAGGAAGAGGAGGAGACAAGTTGATAAAAAGGCCGGGTGGAGAAGGACACCACAGCCCCCTCCCGCTGAGGGTCGGGTGCCCAGACCCCCATGATGGGAGAAGGGGGGGCCCGCCTTCCTTCCTTCCTTCCTCGGGTTCCCGGATGGCCGCCATCATGAGGACAGTAACTGAATGTTCTTCAGCATCTCGTCGAAAGCTTCCCGCGACGGCGCTTCGGCGTTCTGGAAGGCGACTTTGATCCGACTGTAGAGGCTGAATGACTGCAGCTCTAGCCAGATGAAGCCGAAACGGTCGTCGTCAAACAAGACGAAAACGCCCGGGGTTCGTTCAGGGCTGGTGAAGCCGTGGCCGGCGATGAGGCCGGTCCCGTAGAAGCTGCCAGCAGTGGAAGGAAAATACGGTCAGCGTTCCCCACGAAAGCCCACTTCCCACATTCCATTCAGATAGAAGAAAACGAGAGAGATTTCCAAGAAAAGCCCCAAGCTGCTTTTTCCAAAAGGTAAATGGGTTTTCTTGGAGTCTTTTTTTGTCCTTTGAAAACATTTTACTTTTCACCCAAGAAGCTTCTGAACTGAACTGAAGGAGCTTCTTGGAGGAGAAGAGAAACATTTTCGGGGGGGAGGGGCACAAGAAAGTCCCTTTTGAGAAGCGCTTTTGGGACAAGACCTGGATGGTTGGGAATCTCTCTAGACGTCTCCAAGAAAAATTAATCCAGGCCTCGCTTTGATGCCAACTGGCTTTCTGGAGCACCAATGATCATTGCTCAGCCCACCGACAGGGCCACAGAGCCTCACTTGCCACGATGAAAAGTGTTTCCCAACCTTGGCTGGGGACTCCTGGGAGTTGAAGTCCACAAGGCTGAAAGTTGCCACGATGGGGGAAAAGCAGAGACGGGCAACTTTGACCCACCTTTAAGCCATTCCTCCCTTGCATTACTGAATCAAAATAACACACAGTCCTGGTTGGTTCTGCAAAGTGGGGTTTTGAAGCTTTCCCTCCCATTTTGACACAGAAAACCAAAATGTCAACTGGTAGAATAGATAGATAGATAGATAGATAGATAGATAGATAGATAGA